TTAAACCTAGCCTGAGGTGAAGAATTGCTATTGTATATCAAAGGATTCCGGATTACTACTTTGAAGTAAACAATTTCCAAGGAGAGGAGATGGGATGTTAACGTTATCTTATCTTCAGCTGGACACATCCTGACTGGTACCCATAAATTTTCTAGGTGTGAATGTCCTACTTTGCAGCTCCTAGGCTTTGCCCTTTTGATCTGCAAATTGTTGTAAGCGCAGATCTGACCTTTCAGGTGTTTACAGGATGTGTTCTCCTTGGGTCCATGGCAATCGGGCTTCTCCCAGTCCAGGGCCATGGCAGGGACCCACAAAAAGGGGTTTTATATTAAATCATTCATTGCAACATACACATGCACACACCTGCAAAACACATACTGATATCGCTTGGCAGCATACTTGTCCCAGTTTTCATCTCTGAAATGTTGGAGGGTATGTCAGTATAAATACCCTACAGGTAATAGATCCTGAGTGATCTTGGAAGCTAAGCAGGACAGGTCAAACCCGATTGGTACACCAGCCCTCCGTATCTGTGAATTCTGCATCTACAGATTCAATCATCCATGGTGAGATTTTTTTTAAAATCCAAACAGCAAACTTTGATTTTGTCATTTTATATAAGACACACCATTTTACTACCTCACTGTATACAATGCGACTTGAGCATCCATGGATTTCGGTATCCATGAGGAGTCCTGGAACCCAACCCCAACAGATACTAAGGGTCCACTGTACTTGGAAGGGGGATCATCAAGGAATATCAGGCTTTTTTTTTTTTTTAGAGGAAGGTGATGGCAAGTCGCCTGTGAGTATTCCTTACCCAAGGAAACACTATGAAATTCACGGGGTCGCCATAAGGTGCTATGTGCTTTGTGACACGAAGGCAAACACACACATACATATTTTACTTTGCTGGCTAGAGTTGCTACAGATACCAATCCAATACCATTTGGACGGCTGCATGATTCCCACCCTTGTCTTAGCTGAACCAAAAATTATTCTAGAAAGAACTTTCATCTTGAATTTGCATTGTGCAAGGAGAGAAAGGGAACTGCTAGCTATCCGCCAAATTTCTTAACTTGAGAGAACACCTCTCTAGGAAGCTTTAGGTCCTCCAGTGCAACTCTATGGTCAACATCTGCCAGAGGCTGACCACAGAATCACACCAGAGGAGCAAGAAATGCCTAGAGAAGTACTTTCTCAAGTTATCTATAGGTCCTCTAGTGCAACTTTATGTTCAACCTCCAGTAGATTTGCGCTGCAGAATCTAAAGATTCGCAGAGAGAAAATATTAATCTGCAAATAATCAAATCCACAAAAGTCAATACCATAAATGTGGAGGGCTGACTGTAGGTTCAGCACCATGGTCTCTCTCCAGCTGGGGAAACCTTGCATACAGTAAATTCACAATGGACATTGACATTATGGGGCACGACACCTGGCTTGACGGCAGTACATGCGAAAGGGTTCTAGGAGTCTTAGTGGACCATAGGATGAACATGAATCAGCAATGTGATGCAACAGCTACGAAAGCCGATGCGGTTCTAGACTACATCAATAGGAGTATAGTGCTGAGATCGAGAGATGTAACAGTACCACTCTACAGTAGCCTCTCCCAATTCACGGGGGATCCATTCCAGACCCCCACCCGCAAAAATGGCGGCTTGCAAATATTCGAGCCTCATTGAA